GAGTTCTTTTAGATTGCGGACCTTCTAAAGCCTTGATAATTTTAGGCAACTTATTGAAAATCTTAATTCCCATTATAAAAGTACTCTTGTCATGGATGTAACTCGATGATTTTTCTATACAAATGTCATACAAAACTAAAACTAAAAACTAAAACATTAGATGGGTTAGATTTGTGCCAAGCGGCATTAGTACTAAAGACAAACCTTCTATTGACCATTGATTAAGTTCAATTTAATTTGAATCTGAACCACGACTGAAATGATTGATATTTGCTGGCGACTGTACAATGTACATGTAAATGATTTGAACGCTCATAATATTTTATTTTTACATAACATAACATTTAATATATACTACATGATACACGTTAAAGCACCTGTGTTTTTTATTACAGCACGATCAACAAGCGTGGATACAATCTGGTACCAACAAAAAACAACATTGGTACTTAGGCACATTAAATATAAAGCGAACACAACGAGTAAAGCAACGGCCTTGGAGGAAAACTTGTTCAAATAAGAAGTGAGCACAGAATCAGATACTGATTATGTTTGTAAACGGCATTGACGGTATTGCAATTATTGTACACTGTAGATAGTTACTCGATACAATTAATGCTACTGTTGATACCACGACTACCTCTCTCTCTACTTTAATTTAATTGATTTTTAAAGGGTTCTAGGAAATTGCTTAATTGTTATTTTAAAAGATTTTGTGTATGTAGAGTCGACCATATAATATTTACGTGCTGAACTTTAACAATGGCTACTTTAGTGGAATTGAATCTCATGGGAGGCAAATGTGATGAATGAACATGAGCATAGTAGAAACTTTGCTTGATTTTTATTAATTTTACAAGTAATTAATGTGATATTTATAACTTATAATATATTCGAGACATAAATCAAGATATTTCATTGAAATCACGGTCGGATGGTATCTGTGCAACGTGCAGATTTATGTAAAACATAATGCAAATTGCGACGAGATAATCATAAACAGCCCGTAGCTCAACAATGCGTAGAAAGGATATGCTTCGTTACACACCATCAGACTCGGCTCCGCCACTGCGCCAATGTTTAGTTAGTATAAAATATGTTTTTACTAGGCAACTACATTCACTTCCATGCAACACTCCCGAACACACAACGCTATGCTAAACGCTAAATTAATTCAAAGTTAATATTTCACAAGCGCTTTTCCACGCTTTTCAGGATTAATTTACATGTAAAAGTCCCGCAAAAAACAACAATTCAAAAAATAAAACCAGCGCAAACCTACAGAGAGAGTTAATAGACGGAAACTCACAGAATGAATACCAAACGAGCACGTTCAAAAGTCTCTACCGCACTCTGTTCATTAGTCTTTAGATACCAAGTGTTATGTTTTACCATGTAAAAAATAAACATTAGTAATATGAAGTAGGTAACTTTAATAATGATGGATGATAATAAAATTAGAAAAACATATTGTGCGTTCAGTAGTGCAATTTATAGACTCCGTCGTTCAAACGTCTAGTGCATCCCGCATTAAATGTGGCCTTTGTCTCCCGTTGACTTTGGAATTAAAACGACAGCCTAGAGTAGCATTCCAGAGTCGAGTCTCGATGCGAATCACAACGACGCTCAAGAACTAGTTACGTCTATGGAATCTCATCCATCGCCGACAGACAGCACGTAAAGATACGAGTGGATCAATTCACTGCTCCGGCTGAATGTGAAATCGAGATATCGCCGAGTGCATCTCAAGACGAATGCTCGGAACAAAGAGGAATCGATGAGAGAGCGGGAGTGTGGGGATAGGAGGCAAGTGCAGCGACCTCCCCCCTGCGGGCCGTGGTGCAATTTGTACATTTCAAGTGCACACAAAGGCGAGGCGAGGAGGTCGCAGCAAGCTTTGACAGAATTAACTTGTCCGTCGCACGACTGCAACTAAGGCTCACCTTTATTGAAAAGGACAAGCGAAACGGAATTTTAGATGCATTTACAATTTTCAAGTGTGCCATCCGTAGGGCGAAATTGGGACCACGAAAATTGTATTATTGCTATGGTGTTAGGAACTTCATTCAGCTTGAATATTTTGAGACATTTTACCTTTCAAGTTGCTCGATAACATTATTATTTACAAGCTCTAAGAACTCTCTAAGAAAAGAAAAGGCTCTAAGAAAGCTCTAATACGAAACGAAAAAGTCTAAATATAACTCGAAGAAAGCTATTAATAAGAAAGGAAAAAGTCTAAATATAACTCTAAGAAAGTTATTAATAAGAAACGAAAAAGTCAACTCTAAGAAAGCTCTAATACGAAATGAAAAAGTCTAAATATAAACTAATTATGATGTGAATCATAAAAAGTACAAAAATAAAAAAACAATGTGAACATTGTAAACATAAGTGGGACAAACCACAAATAACAAGTCACTTGTTAAGCAATGGCAGTATGCTCTGAATAAATATAGCAATGTTCGCTCAACCCTGGATAATGCTGGTCTTGTTATCGAAGACACGTGGCTTGCACGCTACATGCTTACTAACACAGTAAGTGCCCATACTACCACAAACATCAGTGGTGTAGTAGTAATAACATAATCATACATGAGCATTTTGACGTTGTCTACCAAAGAGACATTTATTTTGTTACGGAAAAGAAACTTCCATTTGCAATTGGTAGAAATTTCTGCGCCTATATGGCAGGCAGTGAATAACCATTTACAGTTTGATAACTCATGAAATAGCTCGTAAATACATGAGCGTGAATGATTTTTCGATTAACATTCTTATTTTAACTCCTTATGATCCAAGTTACTGGTGTGCACTTATTATTAGCATCCACTTATAGATAACTGTTCTGTAAGTTTATTTGGTTTGTTGTGTGGTTATACAAATACAAATGAATATAAAAACAAACAATATAGGTACATTCATATCTTGAAAAAGGAAATAGTAATTACCTACACCAGTCGTGTGGTACAAAACAATCAATATGAGAATCACCGGCGTGCATGGACCTGACATCGAACGAACGTTTAATTAATACTAACCTCGCTCGTCTCGTTCTCGACATTCAGAAAACAGGGTCGGTACAGTTAAGAGCATGCATATTATTAAGATGTAGGAATTTTTATTTCTGATTCTGATGGTCGATACAACAAAATTTTATCCTTTATACAAAACAAAAATACTGCTGGGTATACAATACATACAAACAAAATGAAATATAAAACGTAAACACTGCTGGGACAGCAATAATACTAAGTTATTGCCAGTGTCGTCAAATTCATAGAATCTAACATCCCATGAATAAGTCTTCTGACGACTCTTATATGAACGTTTTATGTGGCTTCATATTTTCGCAGATAACTGTACAGACATGGATGGACAATATGGACATGGTTATTAGGCAAAAAAGTAGGCACTGGTACTAAACAAGAGTTTACTCTAAAGAATTACATGCTACCTAATATAGTACACAAAAAACTGGTGAAAGAATACGGCTTTACCAAACTAACAGAGATAACTATAACTGTTAAGCTTCGAATTGACGGTTTCTAATATAATTAGGTACCTATCTATGAATGTTTTTTGTTTTTTGTTGAAGTGCTATCGGTTTGCACTTACTATCGGAGCTAGTGGGTTACTCCGAGAGCAAGGCAGTGTTTATCTTTCCGGGCTATTTAGTGTTAATTATTATTTATTGAATTCTTTGAGATGGCTTACTATTATTCCATTCAGATCATTTGATAAACTAACACGTAGACCCAAGTTCAAGTGATAGCGACAGACTATAGTTCCCTTCTCGAACTCGAAACTTCACGAATTCCCTTTCGCCTCCGCAGTTTTTGGTTTCTCGTTGAATCCACAGATAAACAACTTGAATTATTTAAGACCCTTTATGCATTACTTAACGTTCTTGTAAACGGCCATCATTTATAAGGCAACAAGAATGATCGATCATGTTGCGGCAAAATACACGTAATGGCCGTTTATTGGGGGAATACAAAATATCAGAATGCTGCCGAGAAATATTTCTGAAAAATTATACGCGAGGATGAACTTTACCACCTTTAGTTAGAGTATTAGAAAAGCTAAAAATATACAAGGTTAACCCAATAAGTTCACAGTACTTTTTTCCCCATGTGTAAACTAATTTTATTAATTTATGTAGGTGGTAAGCCTTCCTACGCAGCTACGTGTCGTCGCAACTTGTTCATAACTCAAGTTATACAGATGAATCGGCGGCTATTGCTCGTATTTTATCGTCCACGCGATGTGTCAAGGTGACATTGACATGGTAATTGCCCTAATTATTAATGTCTCGATTCGCCTTCTATGCTCAGAAAATCCTTCACAAGATATAATTTTGCAATATTTAATCGTGGTTAATGTTAATGGCGTAATAATTATATTACGCATTTTTTTAAATGTACTGACAAATCACATTTAAAATGAAATACTACAAACAAAACACATTGACGATAGAAATCACCTCGTTTAGAATAAAACTTAAAGCACAATAAAGTTAAATCCACAAAAATTTATTGAAAACGCAGCTTGCGGCATCCACGTGATAGAGCTATGATAACTACAGTATGTTGATAGCCACGAAATACATTCCAGTAAATATTGGATTATTACAACCAAAATGGTCTCCCCTTTTGTTGGAGTGGTGCCATAAACATTCATAAATGGATATAAATGACACATTTGCGCATGGAGAGATCGTCAACGAGACGTAAAAAGTTTTAAGTTGTAGCTGCGCAACCGGCCGCGATCGGATCATTCCCAGGCCCCGGCGCAGAAAAAGTGGAACGACTCATTCCTGCTGTCGATGAATTGCTACAAAGAATGCACTGACCGGAATTTAAAACATTACTTATAATTATTTAACTCGCCTGCAATATTATTTTTCTTTTCGATAGAACATTTCCTCCATATTAAGTTATGGACGTAAATACCTTATTGGAACAAGCTAGTATGTAGAGAGAGAGATTAATAAACTTTACCTTAGGATCAAAACTGAATGCAGTCTCTGGTCTTAAAGGACAGGGCAACCCACATTTGCAGGTACCAGTTGTCTGAAGGTAGTCCCGCAACTGTGGAAGAGTACTCAACGCCGTCCCGCTTGGGCTGAAACAATACATAAAAACCCATCAGAAAACATCCAAACTATTTGTAGGTATGTTTATCATCAAAGTTACAACAAACACACTGGTTAGGTAGAGGACTGGTTCATAAATAAAGACAACAAAATCAAGCTATGTGCACTCTTAACGGGTAATTTACTCCAGCATGTTATTGAACAAGTCACAAACATGCAATATCGACTTTTAATTTATACAAACTGCTAAAAGTTCAGCATATATCGACATAGCAAGTATAGTGTCGTCAAAACACTAAAACCTGTTTGTTCGCGAGATGAATGAGCGCATGTTATGAACAGATAATTTTGAATCTAGTAGATAATTGCTAGCGCTAAACACTAATAGAGTTGATGCTACTGCAAGGCAGTGATTCGTGTAAAGGACTAGGGGTGAATTAACTGAAAAGCGAATGATGCAAAAGCGAGTCAAGCGTGTGCGCCCCAGAGCACTAATCACCCGCCTAACTGAGTAACTGACTGCACCGCGGTCAATCGATATTTAATTTGTAAACCCTACCCTATTATACACGTCGTTGCATCTCAATAACGCTATTCAAAGCCAAATAGGGTAAAGTCAATACGATTAAATAGCATTCGAAAATCAACTGATTTAAAGCATAGTATGGAGGAGACTTATCAGTAAGTATTCTTTGGCTACTAACTATTACATAATTTATGAATTTGAAAACCAAGCTTAGTCGGTCGGGTGAGGATTATGACCTGCATTGGCAACAGTAGCCAGCCACTAGCCTGTCGTGAAAAAAGGCGGGCTGATGACAATTTATTAGCTTAGCGTGATAGCGTCTCACGGCTCTACCTGACACACTTGGTACAGTCACTTTTAAGTGTTATGACAAACTAAATATTTTGTAAATAGCTTAATTGGTAAACGTTGACAGTGCGGCATGGACTGCTGGTAATGCTGGCATTATACACCTCGATTCGTTTTACAAACAGGCTCTTTTATAAACGCTCCACATGATAATTCACGGCGATTGTTCACGGTCTGGTACACACGGTAAAGGTAAACCGCGATCACAAAAAAGATTTTTGTTTACCCGCTTTTTATTCATGCGCGGAGTCTGCGGCTTTGGCCACTATACGGGGCGTTCGTGGTCGCGCGAGTATGCGGTGAAATTCACTTTTTTGCAATCGCATGCAGTGTTTGGGGTCCGGGAACGTGTACCTACGTAGACAGCTGCCTATAATTACTTAGCACGCAAACCCTTTCGCACCTTGCTCACGCTACTATCCCACTTACCACACATACTGAATCAACTAACTGCACCGGTTATTTATTAAAGTCAAACAGTATGAATGCGTAATGGATTTAATTACATACATAGCTTATTAGGGGTAATAATAATTATAATCCTATTGAATAATACAAACTTTTAAAAGTCATACGTATTCACTTAGAAATTATTATAACACATTAGTTAGGTTAGGTATGTAATTAATTGACTTTATTTTATTCACATTGGTGGGCATAAAATGATAATTCGCGACAAAAATATACCTACTTGCGGAGATAGATCATATCAAGAAAAGTAATAGAAACCAAACGAAAAAGATTATCGCTGCTTTTAAATAATGGACACAATTTTTTGTGATAACTACCAACAATTTTGTTACTCGAATATGAGCCGAAAGTTGTTAATTTTACATCAGCTAAAATCCCAATTAAGCCACAAGGACGCGAGAAACGTCGCCGGAAGGGTAGATTGGGGATGACAGGCCCTTCGTCACGTGTTTCGGCGAAACGTTGATGTATCCCGTCAACCTGTCTTACGCGGAATTATTTCAAGCATTGTCGTGTCGTGAGACAATTAAAAAAAAAACTTATTGTTCCAGTGACAACAAACTTTTTGTGGAACGCAGTTCTCAATCAGAACAGAAGGAACGTAACATTCAGGCAGGAAAATATCTGCTAGCCCAAACCTTTAATTTATTAACAATTATTAGTAATTAAACTTCCGGGAATATCGGCATGTTCCGCCTGATATTTAGTCATAACTTCTTTAAGCATTCTTCAACAAATCATTAAGAGTTGACAAGAATATCTTAAAATATTGCACATCTAATTCGCACTGAATCAATAATTCCGCGAAAACAAACCGCACAAGATATGCCTGAGTTGTTAAGTGAACAATCTGCCTCTAATGGCCTTGACGAATATGACTAATCGACTCAGACTATTTTATCCTCGTGAACAAACAACTGTTGAGACGATACAATCGCAACTAGCAAACGACGCAGTTAAATAAAAATTATCAATCCAACCTGGGTAATATTTTATCTTAATAAGGCAATTGTTTGTTGATGAAACTAGACTTTGAGCCTCTACATATTATTATTCAAATAATTGCTATAATCTTTCTTTTTCTACAGCCCATATCAATAGTCGTCTAAGATTTAAATAGACGTCATCAACTATGCTGTTTTTTCCATTTTTTGCTAATAAATAATTATCCATTTGATCTTTTGGTTGTTATTGGGAAAACCTATTTTATTAAGGACACCAGCGAATACTTCAGATACTATCTTCTTCCTTATAGAAACCTTGACCACAAAATTAGGTACAGTTGATATCTGGATGACTTCTTTATCGAAAGGGCACTTAAACTAACATAAACCAGATTCGAAGATAGTCAGAGAATACAAACAGCTTGGAACTTAATAATATGTATAAGAAAAATTAAAGAGCACATGTTTGACGAGTTAGTTACTGTATAGATGCAGAAAACATGACATACCAAATCCTTAACGGTGAAATAGAAGTGTCGAGTCAGCAAATCAAAGAAAAAGTAACAGATAAGTTGTAAAATACGTAATATCCTTTAGTCTGCACAACAGTAATCGTCTCTAGCGTGCAGTGATTGATCTCATTCCCTTTGTGAACGCAGGCGGAGCATCATATAATGGGTGAAATATTCTGGCGGGGTGCCAACATATACCGCCATACAAACACAGCGACAGTTAGATTGAGAAATATGTTGCACGTAAATGCTTGCGCCTATACAAATAGTTCTTGTCTATTCACTTAAATTGTCACCGTGCAAGCATGCATTGTCATGCCTGTAGTCAAGAATAGGTGGATGTATTTTTCTCATTAATTAATGAGAAAAATACGACCCAATTGTCGATAGTTTAGTAGTTTGTACCGAAGTTATCTGATAAAAACATTGACACAAACAAAATAAGAAACCAAGGAGACAATTTACTTGTTAGCGACTTAATGTAAGTCTAAACTACAAGGTCATAACAGTTGTTACCTGTCATCTGACAGGTTTTTAACAATTGCCTCATCTATTTTCATGTCTTTATAGGTACTTATTTATAAAAACAAGACTGAAGGCACCTAAATTAATTATAAATTCTAAGACAATAATGGCTCTACATGCGACACCACGTTATCAATACCAGTAGGGTGAGCGTCAGCAATCCGATAACCAGTTGAGTCACGGAAGGGTTTCCTTGCATGAGTCACGGCTTACTAACTTGGCTAGTGCAGCCCTTTTTCTTGGGCGATATAGGGAACGCCCAGCGTGGCTAGTCGCAATTTAATAGTCCCCTTTAACATAATAATAATCTACTCAGTTAAGTTTAATTAGTAGCTTACTAGCTTGCGTTGGCATTTCTTGTGAATGACATTTTACACATGCATGACCACGACCTATTATTATAATTATTGATTTTTCTTATCTCCGTTTTTCTATTTTTAACTGACAAGATGTGAAATACAGGGTGTCCCAAAAACAATGGATAACCCTGTAACCATCGATAGGCCTCGCCATGATCTCCCTAACGTCCATTTTTGACCCCAATAAAAATATCACCGTTTTCAAGATTTTTAAGTTTTTGTGCATTTTTAGAAAATTGCCACCTGCGATTACTTTTTCTCATGCCATTTCTACAAATGAGGATACTTTTCAATCTAGTTTTTTTTTCTTATCACAAGGGATAGTTGGGCTATCAAAAGAAAAGATTAAAGTTCAACAGACTAGTTTGAAAGTATGAAAATTTTAAGAAATTGCAGAAGAGAAGGAAAAATTAATTCATTGTCTTGCACTTTTGATCAGCCATCGTGTAAAAAAAATGTAGGGAGACCATCGTGCCCATTATCTTAAAAACTTCCTTGGTTAATTGAGATTCTAAAAAGGTATCACAAGCCTATGTAGTCTGTATTATTTTTATCTTTAAGGCTACTTGAATAGCAACTAGTATGAAAACTGCAAAAATGAGTTTTTCTCGTAATAGTTAAACTAGGACTGCATAGTGGCATTAAATACAAATGGATAATTTTTAGCGTAGGAATTTAAATAAAGCAACATTTTATCGTCATCATCATCATCATTTCAGCCATAGGACGTCCACTGCTGAACATAGGCCTGTACCCTAATGATTTTCATAATGACCGCTTGGTAGCGGCCTGCATACAGCACCTTCCTGCTTATCTTTATGAGGTCGTCGGTCCACTTTGTAGGTGGACGTCCTACGATGCGCTCTCCGGTACGAAAATGAAAATCATTGGGATACAGGCCTATGTTCAGCAGTGGACGTCCTATGGCTGAAATGATGATGATGATGACGATAAAATGTTGCTTTATTTTAATTCCTACACTNCGATGGTCTTTCTACATTTTTTTTTTACACGATGGCTGATCAAAAGTGCAAGACAATGAATTAATTTTTCCTTCTTCTCTGCAATTTGTTAAAATTTTCATACTTTTAAACTAGTTTGTTGAACTTTAATCTTTTCTTTTGATAGCCCAACTATCCCTTGTGATAAGGAAAAAAACTAGATTGAAAAGTATCCTCATTTGTAGAAATGGCATGAGAAAAAGTAATCGCAGGTGGCAATTTTCTAAAAATGCACAAAAACTTAAAAATCTTGAAAACGGTGATATTTTTGCTGGGGTCAAAATTGGACGTTAGGGAGACCATGGAGAGGCCTATCGATGGTTACAGGGTTATCCATTGTTTT